AAAAATGAAGCAGCTTTGACACTTGGCTCCCTGTGAAAGCCCGGTAACCTCTCCCCCCTTCCGCGGCCCCAGCCTTTTGTTCCTGGAGAACGGAGCTAAGGTACTTTTTCTCTCAGACCAAAGGGAGCAGGCAAGGAGTCCCCTTGTGAGCGCATCGCCTTTAGATGGCCTGCTCATGGTTATTGTCAATGCAGACTTCCCAAACAATTGCTTCGGGGAGACACAAAAGCAAAAACATTTGTCCAATTTTTTTAACCTCTTTGTTTTAGATTTTTTTTTTTTTATCCATTCTTTAAATTTCACAGTTTCTATTTGTCCGCAGAGAGACAAACGGAACAGCGTGAAGCGCATTTCACCGTAGGCCTCACTGGCGATTGGAACAGCCTCAATAGAAACCCAAATTCTAAAACACTGGCTGACTTGGAGGATATGTGAAATTTCAGCTGGGGGGTGGGGCAGGGGCAGGGCTGTGAAGTCAGATTAGCACAGATCTCCAACAAAAATGAACTGCAGTGAAAAGATGAATCGCAAAAAATGGGATTCTAGAATTACTTGGGGCAAAGCGTGAAAGGGTCACCTTTTGTTTATCTTCTGGTATCTTGTCCACTATTTAAAAGTGATCACTGGCTAGGGAAGAATTGAAATTACTCATTAAAAAGGAAAAAAAAAAAAAAAAAAAAAAGAAAGAAACTGAGATGGGTGGCTGTGGATGTGACAGAGCACACTTGAGTGGAGGCTAGTTGGTGTACATGGTGGAAGTGATACTGAGCTGAGATTTTTATTCCTATTTTTTCTAAAGTAGGATTCCTGTAAACAGACAATGTCCCCTGTCCCCTTTCTTTTCCTCTCTTGTTTCCTGTTTCCTTTCTTCTGCCCCGACCTCGGTCCCCCTCCAAGACGTCCGGGTGGTTGGTTTTGCTGGCCACTGTGGAGGGATGTGCCAATCAGCTGGGGGATAGCTCAGGAGCAAAATGGGAAGTTCACCTCTTCCCCCCCACCCTCTCCTTGGCCCAAACAAAGCACTGCTCTCTCCTGTAGCAAGTAGACCCCTCGACTGTGAGGCAGTCTTTATGCATCTGTCTGCCTTGCCATTAAAATCCTCAATTTCAAGGTTTAGAAGCACAAACGTAAAAATCCCCCTGGGTAAAAAGGCTTGCATGGCAAATTCTCTTTGCCCTTCTGGAAAAAAAAATAAAAAAATAAAAAATAAAAAAAATTGTTTCCAAAAAAGAAAAAAAAAAAGAGAGAAAAAAGAGAGAGAAAGAAAAGAGAGAGAGAGAGAGAGAGAGAGAGTGTGTGTGTGTGTGTGGTGACCTATTTGCCTAACATTTAAGGCTGTTTTAAGGCAACTTCTATATTTTTGCTTCCTTGAGACTTGGGCTTTTTCACTTAAAATTATTTTGGGAAAACCTTTTAGAATCACCAATATGAAAGAAGACGACCCATTTATCTTTCTCGTGTCCATGATTGACAGGTTCAGGAGTTGAACTGGAGAGGGCAGGTAAATAAAATAGAAAACGTTCCACCTGTGATGGGGCAAACACGAATCTGTGGAATCAGCACCGCAGTCATACACCAAGGCCTTTCGATTCATGCCAGAGAAATGTGAAACAAAACGTTTGTGTGGAGGCTCTCCTGACCCTCCAGCCTTCGCTAGCTGCTGCCTGAGGTTGGTCTGTATTCTGCCCCATACCCAGGAGGCTAACCCCCCACCCCCACCCCGAGGCAGGTAACTGGCCCCTAAATAAAACTACCTTGTTTTGGTGGAGTGAGCTCAGATCACGGAGCAAGATTCAGCTCCAGATGTATTTGTGTTTATTTGGAGGGACATGTCAGTGTATGCCTCTGTCCCCCAGGTCCTAGCCTCCAGAACATTTAAGCACGGTTGTAAAATCAACGTGGATATAAAACTTGATAAAAATAGAATGATCTGGAAGAATTGCACATATCTACCTAAACCAATTGTGCTCTGAAGAGGGGCCGGGATGCTGACATCGTCTGTATCTCTATGCAGGGATCATATTTAGCTTTGCCGAAGTGAAAGGATCCAGCATTAGAGAGGGAATATGGGGGTGGGGGTCCAGGTCTGGCTGGGTGAGAACTGTAATTTATCAGCCAGCTAAGCATTAGTGGGCAGACCTCTGGCTTGGAGAATGGGTAAGGGGAGGAGATGAGAAGGGGCCAGTGTTCCCTGGTTTATTTTTAAATATTTATCCTTTGGTTGTTGCCAATCAGGCTTTCTAGACGAGCCGAGCCTGGCGATGGAGAACTGTGGAAGAGCTGCCCTTTCTGGCGGTGGCTTTATTTGTCATTGTGTTCAGGAGGCAGCCTGAGAATATGAGGCTGTCAGTGGTGGGCAGGCATGGGCTGAACATCAGGCAGCTGCCCTGTCCTGAGCTTGGGGACCGAATTTGTAACATGGATTTCGGAGAGATTGAAGGTTCCCCTGTGTCAGTGTGCGCTTTGCAGATTCCCTCTGCAGAGGTCTTGTTTGGTTTAAGGGTGAAAATGAGTTGTCCCTGAGGTAGCAGCACCCCAGCTTTTATGCAGTCATATTCCTTACGGCCCACAGGCTGTTCGGTTACCTGCCTGTGGCTTACCTGTGAAAATTTTGTCTGGAACAAAAGACAGGCTTGAGTAGGCCTCACCATTCCTCTAAGCTATTGCAGGATTAAGATAAAGAAAAGGGATCAGGGTCACTCTTGTCAGGCTTCTGAGGTGTGGACAGCCCGTCACCCAGGGCCTGCCTGGGACAGTGGCAGAATCAAGGCAGCACCCTTCTTCTGCCAACTCCTCCTCAGTCTCTCAGATTACCTTAGATCTTGTCTGTGTTTTTTTTTTTTTTTTCCCCTAGCTTTCATTTTGTCGAAGGTGTTTATGTGTCTCCTGTGCCCTCGCCCCTACTCACCATATTTAACAAGGTTCTGAGGTTGTCCTGTGCACAGAACTCAAGGGGAAGCTGCAAAAGTCAAGTTTCCAGGGGTAGAAGCGTTTTCCTGTTGTCTCTACTTCATCAGCTAGGCCCATGAGGGTAGCTTCCAGTGAGGAGGGAAGTCTGGAATCTCTCTCGTTTACCCAAAGAGATTTCCAGGGGGTAGGTATCTCAGAGGGAAGGAGGGCCACCTTGCTCGCCTTCACTGCCGGTGTGGGCATCACCATCTTCATGTATTATTCATAGTCACTTTTTCAATTAAATTATTAATTGGTTTTCTTTAAGGTGTTCCTGACTCATGTGGGCAACATAAATAACAGTGTGTTTTGAAAACACCACCTGTTCTTGAGCCTGAGGTCAGGCCTTCTGAAACAGCTCTACAGTGGCCATACCCTGGTTCACAAGCCCATCCTCCATCCACCCTCCTTTTCTGCTCCCCCCTCACCCCCAAGTTTGACTAAATTTGGCCTGTGCCCTTCTTTGTCCCTAATCGGACATGATTCCCTAGAGGCAATTCTTTTCTTCCAAGGCCCTAGCTTGGGTGGAAAATGCAAAGGCTTTTTTTAATGTATGTATGTATGTATGTATGTATGTATTTATTTATTTATTTATTTATTTATTTATTTATTTTGGTATGGTAAAATATAGACAAGGGGTTAGTCTGTGCCCAACAGGTTAGGTATTTACATAGATTTGAACCCGAATTCTATTGTACAAAAAAAAAAAAAAAGAAAGAAAAAGAAAAAAAAATGCTTTCTACAAAGGGAGACGGTAGTTTTCACCAACCAGCATAACCCCTTTCTCCCCGTTAGTGTGTGCTTAATGCAAATACGATTCCATACATTCTGCTCTTCGCCTGGTGAGCTTATTATATTTCTAACACTTGCATGGTTCATTATTGTGCAGTAGGAAAAGACTCGGCGGCTGCAGGGGCAGCCTGGGTGGCTGGTTTTCAGAAAGAGAAAAAGCAGGTGTCTTTCTGTGCCGAGAATGAAGACTAGATTTAGGAGGAGGGTGGAATTCTGTCTGAGAGGATTGGAGACTTCCGGTGAGCTTTCAAGGGGCCTGCCTGTACGTAACAGAATGGAAAAGGTGAACTTAGGGGGGACCTAGCAGTGCCCAGCAGTTGCTTTGACCAGCTGAGGTGGCCCTGTTCGGTTTGATCCTGGTGGTAGAATCTCCCTGAACCGGGCATCGTTCTTGCCCACTCTGAAACGCTGTATGGCTTGTAAGGACAGTCTCCTTTCTGAAAAGCGCATGGCTGCAAAATGCTTGTCCTTTTCTAATGATTTCTTCTTCTCCTCTCTCCTCAAAAACTGTCCTTAAACTCTCAATGGAGAGTAGGGGCTGTTTTCGTAAGTTTCTGCAGCTGAAAAACAGAAGTGCTCTGTGAAGCAGTTTAATAGGATGGGTGTGTGTTTCAAATAAATTCCTGTCCATATTGGCTAAAGTCCTCATGTTAGAGTGGACTGGCTCTGACGTGGACAGGGCCCAGAGACTGATGGATCAGGGTTCGGAGGCCCTGACTTCTTTTTTTCTTTCTTTCTTTTTTTTTTTTTTTTTGGTGGCTGAGGGCGCGTCCGTTTCTTTCAGGCAGGCCTTTGACTTTTGATGAGCCGGTGCGGTCAGTGCCTCGCGGGGACGCGGCTTTGTTCCTGCCGGGCCGGTTCCTGGGTTGGTGCAGGCCAGGGCAGTCAAGGCTCCTGTCCCCAGGCGAGTGCGGCTCAGCCTGCCTTCAAGGCCGGGGCTGGGAGCCTAGGCCCAGCAGCCCGGGCCCTGCTCCTGTGTGTTTGTGCGTCTATGTCCCCAGGTCCCCGCAGGCGCGCGGGCGCGGCCACCGTGAGCAGCCCGGCCTGCGCCCAGCGCGACTGTAGATGTCAGGCTTTGCCCGGGGAGCCGAGAGGCTGCGGGGCTGTGAGTTTCAAATTAACCTTCCGCTTTGTTGCTGTGTAATGTGGATCCCCGAAGGCCCCCCGCCCCGCCCGCCCCCCTTCCTCGGGCGGTGCGCGCTGCAAACTGCGAGTTGAGCTTCATTTACATAAAGCGATTCCGGGCGGGCGGCGCAGGAGGAGGAGAGAGGCGGGCAGGCCGGGACGGGGACCGGGACGCAGCGCCGCGCCCCGTGGGTGAATCCCCGCCGCGCCTGGGGGACCTCCCTCCCGGGGCAGCCCGAAGATCGCCAGCCCGGGCCGCCACCATGCGCGCCCCGCCCCTGCCGCCAGGCCCCTCGCTCCTAGCCTGCGCCACCGCCGAGCCCGGGGGGCAGCGGGAGGTGGGGAGAATGCCGCCTGGGGTGGGTAAGTTCGGGGCTCCGCTGCCGCTGGAATCTCCCGTTGTCGCGCTGGCCCGAGTGGCGGCCCCCGGACCTCCGAGTGCCTCCTTCCTCCCGAGGTGTCGGGAGGCTTTGTGTGCCAGGTGAGTGCAGCCACCCTCCCCCGCCGCGCGGCTCGCAGCCGGCCTTGCGCTGGAGGCAGGTGCTGCGAGTCTTGGCTGAACTTCCCATTCTCTTGGGGCATGTGGGGGAAGGGCAGGCTGGATGCACTTGAACTCCTAGACTCCAGGAGGAACCTACCTGGGGAGAGAGTGGTTAGAGTCTTCTGGGCCCCCAGAGTACGTCCCTTCTTCCATACCCTCTTGCTTTCCTTCCTGACCTCCTCCTCATTCTGATTTTTGGGTTAGTTCCTAATACTTGGCGTATTGGTGTCATTGAGAACTTTGGGGTCTTTGCTCTAAAACACCTCCTCTTGAGAGAGGGAGAGTGAGAGGGAGAGAGTGAGTTAGAGTTAGAAGCCACTGGTCAGTTTGCAGCAATGTGAAGAATGTGCCTGTGTGGGGAGTAATTAAAGAGAGAATCAGTGCAGAGCTGGAGGGGACCTATGGAGCTCATCTTGGCCCGGCCACCCTCTAATTTCGGTTTGTTCTTCTGCCAGAGCCCGTACAGCATTTATTTTGGGAGCGGGGGTGGGGCGGGGGACCTGTAGGAAGGAAAAGGTAAGATTTTTATTCAGCTAAGGAGGAGAGGTGACCAAGCTAGGGTAGCAACAAGAAAGAAAAACTATGGCAACCAAAAGTCATTTTGTCGGCTTAGAGAGAAATAAGGTTTCTGGAAAACAGCCCTTTCTGTCTTATACATACCTATGCAATGATGGTAGGGAGCCTTGCCTTCAGGGGAAAGCCCACAGCCCATACATGGCACACTCAGGCGGAGTTTCAGCAGCCAGACTCAGTGGCACACTGTATGCCAAACTGGTTTAAAGGTGACCACCGGGGAGCAGGTGAATCCATGAGGGCGCCCCCACCTTTCGCATTTGGATCATTTATCCGCCTTTGAAGCCGCCGTAGTAACCACAGACAGTATAGACTTCCCATCTGGAACACCGGCAAGGCCTTCTCAGGCTCTGGCCAGGCAGGGCCTGCCTGTCTGCCTGCCTGGCCGGAAGGCATCAAGGCACGGCAAGGAAACAGACCTAAGCCTTGAAGAGAGATAGTGAGAAAAGTTACTCGTCACCTTCATCTTACTTCATTTCGTGCTTTGAGATCCTTGGAGACGAGTCACTAAATAAATAGAGTATAATTTGAAGCTCGCCCTAGCCGGGGGTAACTGTTTCTTTACCGTCGAGCAGCAGGTGCCAGCATGGAGAGTTGGCCCCTGGGGTCCCCTCATTCCTAAATTCAGGAGGTGTCAAACCTTCATGTTCTTTTAATGGCTGTGGTTTCTGGATAGGTTTCAAGGGAAACCCTAAAAAAAAAAAAGAAAAGAAAAAAAAAAAGAAAATCACGAGTTCCAGTGAGCTGGGCTGGAGGGCTGTGGCCCAGACAGCATTAAAGAGGAAAGCATAGACCTTGCGAGGTAACCCGATCAAGGCTTGCAGTGGGGAACTGGGAGCCTGTTTCTCGTTATCACAACATCCACTGGCAGCCCGAGATTCTAAATCCAGACGCAGAAAACAGGGAGCAGAGGTGGGCCAAGAGGGGTCTGGAGGCAGATGCTCAGCTGTGAAAGGATTTTCACAGACAGGGTCTTTGGAGGGGGCTGAATACCTGGGTGTTTGCACACCTGTATTTGTATTCATCCAGTTTTTTTCTTTTTCTTTTCTTTTCTTTTCTTTCTTTTTTTCTTTTCTTTTTCTTTTTTTTTTTTTTTTGAGGGGGGGAGGCTCCGGAAGGCTCCCTTGCAGAGAGTGTGCAGCGGAGGAGCAACTTTTTCTCCCCCTCTTCTCTAAATCACAACAAAAGAGATTGTCTGCATTTGATTTTCAGTATGGTTTTCAGAAGACATGTAAAGTGCCTCTCAGAATGGGCGGGGGTCACACTGGGTCTTTTATTTCACTACACGAGTGTTATTTAATAACATGGGGTCAGTGGCAGAAGCAAGCACTTGTACACTCTGAAAACAGTTGTTGTTTTTTTTTTTTTTTTTTTCTTTTTTCTTTTTTCTTTTTGGAATGGCAAAGAATTCAGTGCCTTGACCTTCTGCCTTTCTGACTTGGGTCCGGTGCCTCCCTCTTCACCCCAGTCCAGTAGGTACACTTCCTATGGGATAGGACTGAGGTTCTAAAACCCGTTTTGATTGACAAGGAACTGGCTGACTCTCTGAGCACAACAAAAACAATGAACTGCGACCGCCAACCGCCTGAAATTTTAATTTTGGTTGCTTTGCACAAGTGAATGCTAAAGGAGGGTGGAAAAGGCCCAGATTAAATGGTGCTTCCAGGCGGCCTCTTGTTTGGCTTGTCCTGGCTGGACAGCAAAGTGTTTTCCTGCTGTTTTGGGCCTGGATTTTACTGCCATGTAAACTTGGTGCCAATTGGACTGTCAAGGAGCTAAAATAAGCAAGATCTCAGCCTTCACCATTAGGACTTAAAGTGATGGCTCCTATATTTTTGGGTGACCCAAAGGTTGTTGGTTCACTAGAATAAATCTGTGAATGCAGACTGTTAGAAATGGTCTTCTCATGCTGGTGGGAATTTGGCTGGTTCTTAAAAGAACTAAAACTGAAGTTTTGGTCACATGACGCACGTGTGTTTGTGTGTGTGTGTGTGTGTGTGTGTGTGTGTGTGTGTGTGTATGTGTATATATAAACTGTTATTCCTTTTAGTCTATCTTCTAGAGACTGGGTTTTCTTGGCTTCTGAAGTGATAGGATGAGAGCCTGGGAATATTTGAGGGTCCAAAGCAGAACTAGGGAACTCATTTTATTGGGGAGTTGTAAAAGTTTCATCTTAACAAGTAAATATTTAAGTGACTAAGCAGCGTTTTCTCACAACGTGCGGAATTGCTGTCCCTACTTGCTCTCTGCATAGTTCCCTCTGGAAGAGTTCCTAGCCTGCTTCCCAACCTTAGCCCCCTGAGTCTTCTGGCAAGGAGGCAGGGGGGGAGTCTGGTCTGAGGAAGCTTGCCTGAGCCCTGCCTCCAGGCTGGTCAGCACGGCAAGCCTGATGCACCTGACGCCCCCTGTTGCAACCTCAGGGAGTACAGTGTGTGCTGTGGTTTGTGCTTTCATTTGTGATTAAAATGCTTGCTGTTTGTTAGGCTGGCCTATTTCTGTAATGTTTGGGCCTGTTGGCCCACTCTGGTTCCCAAGGCTGTTGTAATTAGCCAGTATGGGGGCGGTACCATCAAAACACAACAGGAAGGCAGATTCCATTATTGAGAACTTCGTAGGGTTGTTTGCATGCTCTGGCATGAGAATTGGGTTGTAATGGTTATTGTTAGAAATGGCAGCGAAGCTGCGACCCTCCTCCAGTCCTTACCCCCTGAGCTAAAGAACTGTGTGGTCAGGGAGCTGGGCAGCCTGTTTTAACGGAATCCAAGCTAGGGGATTCCCTAGCAGGAGTGTGGTGCCTTAGGGCCCTCAGCACAGCGCCCTCCATCATGAAGACACCGAAACTGAGAAACAGGCCCACAGAAGCTAAGGTTTCCTCACACTGCCTTGAGGGAGAGAGACCCAGGCAGGAATCTTGGGTCATTAGCACGCTGCTTTCAAAATACAGATGGAGGAGCAAAGCTATCAAAATCAACAACTGTCAGATTTGTTTTCTGTATGATTTAAAGTTGGCCATCACACAGTTCTCTCTGAATGACGCTCAGATGTCAGAGGGGTGTTTTGTTTTTTATTTTTATTTTTTCGTCATGTGGTGAATGACTGTTCCTCGGCCAGGAACCTAGGAACCAAGGAAATCGAGGCCTAGCTCCAGTTGACAGACAGTAACATTGTGTTAATGTTTTCAGAGGGAATGTCACCAAGGAATGTGTTGCAGGTTTTTCTTCCTTTCTTTTCTTTTCTCCACCCCAGCCCCCACCTTTGCTACTGTTTTTCATCCTTTGGGTCAGGGCACAGGGTGGTGAGGACTGAGGACAAGACAGAAGTGTTGCAGTATTTCTAGAAAGTTCTTTACCCTCAAAAGTTGCACTGGCTTTTGATTTGTTAAAATCTTTGGTTTTTATTTTCTTTTTATTTCCCCCTTTGGATGTTTTCTGCCTTTCTTTCACTCTTAATTCCCAGAGCTTCTTGCTTTCACAAGGATAAAGATGCAAATAAAAGCAGTAAAGGATACAGCTTTTGTGACCTGGCAGATTGGCTCTGTTGCACAGCAAGAATTGTGTTGTGTTGTTTTAGCCCAATGCAGGGCCTCTTAGTGGAGTATCTGGTGCCTCATCTGCCTTTTAGGTGAGCCCTTCTCCTATTCTACCATATAGGCTTGTCAACAAGAGGATTCGTGTGTGTGTGTGTCTATATGTGTCTATCTGTCCGTCCGTCCATCCATACATGCCTCTCCAGAGTCCTACCTTGCTTGTGTCCTGGGAAGGACTTGAATAGTTTATTGCAGTCTTTGAACTGTCCCTCTAGAGTCAGGTATGAGGCTTCCAGAGAAAAGAGACTTAAGACAGGCCAGACATTTGACTACCTTCCCACTGCGTGCCCCTTCTGGTTCCCACTGGTTGAGGATGGAAGCTGTTGCAAGGCCGCTCCTCCTGATGGGCTGAGGGGAAGGAAGGGCTGTGTCTCCTTTTCTGGGAAGAAGGGAGTCCTACCCCAGGGTGTCACACCCCAAGGCCCTCTGCAGTGATTTTCTTGTATCTGTTCTTGAATGGGTCTGTTGGGGGCAGGAGTTAGGGATTTCTTGGTTATCTGAAGTTATCCCTAGGAAATCCTTGAGTGGACGTGAGGAAGCTGGCTCCACTGGGCCACGAGTCGCTGATGTTATCCACTGCCCTGCCCTGCCCGGGACTTGAGCCACCAACCTTTGACCTGGGAGTAAGGCCCCTGTCGGGGTGCTTCTGGAAGCAGGGGCTGGCTAATCTAACGTGTATGGGGGAGTTCTTGAGAGTAGGTGTGAGTATGTGGGAGTCACTTTGGGGGGTGACTTTGAGGATGATCATGATGAGTTCTGACAGATGGGAGTGGACACCATC